TGCAGAAGGTTATCAATGAGATCAGCAAATACGACGAGAAAGGGTATCAGATGGATGACGAGCCTGCTTTGAGACTTCATCATCGCCTTTGTGTACCAGCAAATCATGAGCTGAGACAGGATATCTTGCGAGAGGCTCATCGGTCTCGATTGGCTATACATCCGGGAGCCAACAAGATGTATCAGGGTTTGAGACAGTGGTACATATGGTCGGGCATCAAGAGAGATGTTGCGGAATTCGTAGCACACTGCATGATCTGTCAGCAGGTAAAGGTAGAGCGGAAGATGCCCAGCGAGAAGTTACAGCCATTAGAGATCCCGGAGTGGAAGTGGGACTCGATTGCGATGGATTTTGTGGTTAGTTTACCGATGACTCCGGCAAAGAAGAATGCTATTTGGGTAGTCGTCGACCGATTGACGAAGTCCGCACACTTCATTCCAATTCGACAAAAGTATACAGTGGATAAGCAGGCACAGATTTACATAGATGAGATTGTTCGATTGCATGGAGTCCTAGTGAGATCATTTCAGATCGAGATCCTCAGTTTACAGTGAGGTTGCGGGGCGCTATTCAGAGCGCGATGGGGACTCAGCTGAGGATGAGCACTACTTATCATCCTCAGACAGACGACCAGCCAGAGCGAACCATCCAGACGCTCGAGGATATGTTGAGAGCGTGTATTCTGGAGTGGGACGTTCCTTGAGATAGGTATCTGATATTGTGCAAGTTTGCGTACAATAACAGCTACCACGCCAACATCAGTATGCCACCTTACGAGGCCTAATATGGACGGCCTTGTAAGACACCTTTGTGTTAGATGGAGATCGAAGAGCGACGTGTATTCGGGCCTGAGATTGTGGAGGAGATTGTTGGGATTCCTGGGATCTCTACAACGAATCTAATTCGTAAGAGATCGGTTCTAGAGTTTACGCAGCGGATGTAAAACAAAAAATTTGATGAAACCCTAAAACCTAGCATGCATGATTTTGTAGAAACGTTAGAATGCTTACCTCAATCGATCCAAGGCCTGTATCAATCGAAGAGATCGTCCGATCACTAAAGGCAGGAAGAATACCTTGCCCTCTACACGTATCCACACGGCGGAAAGGATTCCAACAGTTGGAGCTCATCTGCTAGGACTGAAGAACACGTTCTTCCTTGTGCAGGGGTTTCAGATATCTTTCTTTTGGTTTTTCCACTCTCAAAACCTCTCAAAAGGGTCTGAAAGTCCTGCCAAAGAGCTTAGAAGGCATTCCCCAAAGTTCCTTACCCTTAAAACCCTAATTTGAGTGAGTTAAGGAAATCCCGACATCTGGACCGATCGGTCTGGAGCTTTTGCCTGTGGACCGATTGGTCCAGGCCTCTAGACCGATCGGTCCAGACCTTCTGGACCGATCGGTCTGGCCTCCGCTCCACCGGGAATTTCTCGTCTTTTCTCGTGCGTTTATTATTTCCTGTGTGTGTGACCCTGTTGTAGGCTCATCTGATACAGTAGTATAACCCGAAATCTCCATTTCGGTTACACAAGTCATAAGAAGTCTCTAGCAAGACACTATGACTACCTATCTCGAATAGAGTTTGTTCGTGATCTTACGAACGTCGGTGATGATTCCGGTTGATAATCCTTTTATATCATGATATCATAAGTCGATCATAATGCATGGAGAAGCCACCTTATCTGATTTGACTGCTTTCTCGTTCACTGAGTTCGACTGTACGAGATAGACGACGTTCGTCTATAGTGCGGCCACACATCCCTACAGTCTCGCTCACACGAGGGGCCCAGCGATATCGCTCTCTTTTACGAAAGGTACAAATACCATCTTCACTATCTACAATCTAGCACATGATTCGTGCCGTACCTGATACACGCCTTTATAGTCCTCCTGTTACGCAGGACGTTTGACGCATTCAAAGTACGCAACTCCTCATGTTGGATTCCATAGATATCTCAAGTCATAGGATCCAATCATGGAACCGTCATATGAGATTCAAGTCATGACGCTAGTCCATGTGACAATCTCATGTGGGTCAATCCAGTATTCCGTTCTCCAACGAATACCTATGATTGTGATTGTATCCAATACCTATGATCATCTCTATGATCATCAATCACACATCATACTAGTATTAGTATATCATTATTCTCACAATGACATATGACTAGGGAGTTTAATATTGTTCATAACAATACATGGATTTCATAACATATTAAAGTATCCATAACATATAATGAATCAACACTCATCCATAAAACCATAGAAAGTGTCAATACATCAAATGTATCATAAGAAAGCTCATACAACAGTTCATCATAGAGCACTAAACCAACAGAGACGACGGAGGTTATCCGCAAGATATAGGCCAATTTGAAGGTCGCGCAGGATCGCCAAAAGTCTTACGCTGATCAGAGGAGGAGAGACTTCACAGTAGCAGTGGGCGATCTTGTATTTCTGCGAGTTCAGGCGATTAGAGGGCACATACGGTGTGGGAAGACGGGGAAGCTCAAGCCGCGTTACATTGGACCTTATCTTGTGATTGCGAAGGTCGGAGCCGTAGCATAGCGGATCCTTCGCATGTGTTACAACCACAGGAGATTGAGCTTACCAGTGATGCCAGAATCCACGATCAACCACTTCAGATTATCAATCGAAAGATCAAAAAGTTGCGGAACAGGGAGATTTCCTTGGTTAAAGTCGTTTGGAGGAGTCAAGGAATCTCGGACATGACATGGGAGCTAGAACAGGAGATACGCGACCATTACCCACATCTTTTCGGTATGTATCTTCTCTTATCTCTCTTATTAGAATTCGGGATGAATTCATTTCAAGGGGGCAGAATGTAATATCCCGTAATAAAGTAGATAATTGAATCATAGACGTTCTTTGAGGGAACATCGACCCTCTTGATATTACCTCGAAATAACGTCGATCCCCAATATGTTCCCAAATATGCGATATTCTATCAAGTCTTAAGAACAATCCTTATATAGAATATTTATATGGATTTCGAACTCCCCTAGTAATGATGGCACCATGGATGCACATAGACGAGTAAAACAAGTGTATGAAAGAGTTAAGGAACATGACAACTTGCGGGTTCAAGGACCAATCACATGTTCACAAGCGAAGAGGTTAGAAACTGCATTCATTCACATGATTTGAGTTGAATTGAAGAACAAATGTGAACGGATCAGTGTTGTCAATTGCATATGGCGGTCTATGGCGTCAAACCCAAAATAGGCCATGAGTATATGGTGGATTCTATGGCACGTTAAAAAATATAGTATAAATCCATATAAGCATTAACATTAACACTAATATAATAAAATACCAATCCATATAAGCATAAAAAAGATAAATGTTAACTATATACCAATCCATATAAGCAAAAAAAAGATAAATGTCAAACATAGAAAAAGATAAATAAGATAAATTCTAAAATTAAAACAACAAATCAAACATCATCATCAGTAAGCTCTAATCCGATGTAATCAAATTATTCATTATTGTTCAATAGTGCATCTCCTTCCTCTTCTTCTCCTTCTGAATCCTCTAAATTAATTTCTTCTAATTTTTCCTCGATATCATCGGATTCTTTCTCAATCATGATACCTTTTCCTTTTGTCTTCGATAATGTTGAACTTGAAATGTTCTTTCCTCTTGATTGTTGCCTAGTATTTGCTCTAGGTTTTCCAAGTCTCGATTCTCTATAAATGGTTTCCCAATCAAAACCATCATCACCTTCAAAGACCAAATCATGTCCAACATCATCTTCACCGTTGTACATTTCACCGACCAATCGTATGGAAACCTTTCGATCGCAGAGAATCTTGTGACTTGTCTTCATTCCATCCATCCTGCTTTTATCTTGTGACTAACATTTTCATCGTAACCTCCATCATCCTTTTTGAAAGATAGAACTAAGATATTTAAATTGCGGTTTTTTTGGAAACTGATCCTCCTTGCAATGCATATACTCGGAATCGATCTTTTCGAAAGCAAAATGTCGAATTTGATCAGAAACTATAAACGATCGTTTCCATGGTGCGAAGATGGCATTTACTCAGAGGAATGAAACGTTCAATCAAAGGGGCAAAGAAACGACCGTTCTACAAAAGCAATCTTAGGATTAATATTCAGAAGACAAAAACCACTAAGCATTCTTTATTCCTTCTATTTTTACGATTTTCTATATTATTAATATGAACTTTCTCGTCTCGATGTTTAGCAAGTAGTTTTCAATATAGGGAATTTTTATTCTTAATTTCATATTTATTTGATTTGGTTTGCTAAGTTGTTTTTAATCTCGTTTGATATTACCTACCAATTGATTGAATGAACTTAGAGTTTTAATTCGAATAGAGATATGAAATTATAACTTAAAATTAATTCATAAATAGAACAAATAACATATCGATATGCGGATAGTTGCCTGGGGGATTCTGATAGCATTCGTGCATGCATTAGTAGTTTTGGACTATCGGATCGAGAGATCAATAGGTTAAAAAATCTGGGTAGAGAGGTTAGGCTCTGAGAGTTAGTCTCTATTTTAGAAACTTGAATTTCCCAAATTAGATTTACAAACCACAAAATTTGTATCCTTAGAGAAAATCTTTGCATGTAAAACCATCCCAAAACCTACATTTTTTTAATACATAGTTTATTCGTTGTTTGTTTTTGTTTCATTGCTTTTTACACATCACCTATATTTCTATCTAGATCGAGTTCCGAAAAGGAGTTTGATTCAATTATCTATTTTGTTCTTGTATTCGACCCTAGTCCATATCTAGATATAAATTAAAGATAAATTAGATCATACCTAGATGAATGAAGATGAGTATCCTAAAATTGGGTATCCATGGGTTTGATTGCCATCAATCGTCCAAACTTAAGAAGTAAAGCTTACAACGACTAAGTTTAGGTATGATGCTCCTATATGGATGGGTTAGCTAGTGGTAACGAGGCAAATGGAAGAACTTCTGGTTACCACATGGGATGTAAGGAAAGTTGTTGTGATACGACGTTTCATTCCAATAAACTATCATACGAATGTTTATTTTAGGCTACGACAATTGACATGAGAAAACTTAAAAAGGTATTACAAAGAGATGAAGATGATGATCAAAGCGAATGTGGAAAAAAAACAGAAAAGCCACGAATGAGAGATTCATAGGTGGTTTGAATAATGAAATTCAAGATTAGGTCGGAGGATCTATTATATTTAGCCATAAAAAAAAAGAGCAGCAAGATCACATGGACAAAATGATATTAGTATTCTTACCACAAAATCATGGACAAGTATTGGTGAGATAGTGTGGAAACTATCTATAAGCCTGTACTTGTAAATTAGGACAACTAGGTCACATTAGCTATCTCCATCATTTCTAACTAGTATAACATTACCCTTCTAAGGAAACGAGATTTCTTATAGAGAAATAGTTTAAAAAAAAATTCCTTCTACTAGATATTTTTGAACTATTTTATTCTAAAATTCTCAAAGCTAGCACAAACCAAGGTATGGAAAATCTGAGTATTTTGCATATGGAACGCTCCCTATTCCTTTTTAACAATAGTTTTTATAAAGGCATAAATCAATCATAATATTTACCTTGTGGATGAAGGACAATATTCTTGAAACACCCATGCAGATGTTGAGCAAGATGATTTCTCCAAGTTGGAAGATAAAATAGACTTCATCCACTTGATTCTGGAAACAAGTTCTTCCAAGTCAAGGACAGCAGCATCTATAGCATTTGACACCATTATATTCAACGGAAGACTCTCGTCAACTTTGAGCTTCTTTCTAGCTCCACCGATATGTTCTCTTCTAACGACACCCTCTATGACTTTACACTCATCTGCAGGCAGTATCAACCTAGCACAACGTCTATCTTCTCCATCCTACAATGCATAGTGATGAAAACAAAAGATAAGAAACTATAACAAGAGAACATAAAAAGATCTAAATAATACTTACAAACTTATCAACATTCAAGAACCGATATTCCTTATGGACAATCAAATGGAAAAGAGGCACATAAAGATTAGAAGAAAAGACATACCCTACTAAATAGGATTCTTTTGCAGAAAAATTGTTGAAAAACAAATAGAATATTACTTGATTTGTGTCGGGGAGTTTGTATGGTATTGGAAGTGTACTTGATTTGTTGTGGGGATATTTGGATAAGGATTAAAAGAAGATGAGTGCAATACAAAAGTCTAACCCGATAAATCCATAAAAAGTTTGTTGGGGACAAGGATTCTTGATTCAATCAAATTGTGATCAAAATGAGATGAAACCAGTGAAGGAGAACTTACATGATCAATGAGTATAACTAAAAGGCCATTGTAGAAAAAATTTAGGCTTCAAAGCAAGATGTCCGCTTGAGGTAAGACCCAAATGTAAAGGATCGGTGAGAAACAATGTGTGGGAGATTCGGTGTGAGTCAATGCATACACGAGATGTGTAGGAAAAAAGAGGAACACATGATGTATTGGATAGACAAACACAGATTGCTATACGATCATATTGAATGGGTAGATACTCATAAGAGTATGAGTATGGTTTCAGATATACTAAAGCAACAAATAGAATGTAACTGATGCCGAACTCGTTAAACTCTCATGCATTTTATATTTTTGTGTTCATAGTTGCACTTACACTTTTATAAAAACCCACCTTGGAAGAAGGTACTAGCCAACCATCGACTGGTGACCAATCCAAGGACGGACGCACATCTTTGCAAGGAGCCACGTAACAACTCCCTTCACCGATTGGCAAAGGGAACAATTCAACCTGCAATACAAATCATATGATGTATTAAAAAAGAAAACATGACAAAGATGGATTAGTGAATAAACGTGATAAAAATATGTTTATGCCTATACATAGTATATGGTAACAAATAGAGTCCACGTGATAGAGGAAAAGATAATCAAGAAACTCAAATGAAACCTATAATTACTTGCCTTAACCTCTCTATCCCCCATGACTTCTGCTATGGTCCCCGACCAGTAACAATCATCCTTCCACCAATCTACCAAATCCCCTACTTGGAAGGTATCATTAACAACCAAAGTTGGTTTAATGATCCCTTTAACATCACAGACTTCGTTTTGGTGACACACGTGTGGAAATTGGGGTCGAAGCATCAAATGCTTCTTGTCTCCAACTACTCCCTTTTGATATAGCTTCTCTGTGTGCATATCTGAAAAGAGTTGTATTTTTAATCAAACAAATGTACTAGTAAGATTTTGTACAAGCCAAATTCAAATCTAAAAAAGAGAATATCCAAACAACAATGGATTAGCGTATTAAAATCCAAATAAACTATGAATCTCACAAGTGATCAAATCGATCATGGATTTGTATTAAATGCTCAAATAATCCATAACCTTTCATTAGTTTTCCAAATAGACAATAATCATTCATCTCTCAAATAGATCATGAACTTGCTAGAAATTATGTCCATGAAACATCTTTTTTGTATATTCAATAAAATTCCTTAGTCTGTTTGAAAACTCAATGTAAACTCATGGTCTGATTGGATTTCTGATAAAAATTTGTGATAATTTAATGCTTCATTTAGATACCATAATACAAACAAAATAATAATTTGTGTGGGCATTCTCCTATTAAAATACTGTTGATTATTCCACTAAACGTTGGAAACCATGGGAAACACGTCGGAGGGTAGTAGTTTGTTACCAAAGGCTAGTTACTCACTTTCATCAGGAAAGTCGAGATACTCCAACTTGTAGAACACCTCATTTCTCTTCTTGAATATGTCTCTAATCTGGTAAAAGGGTAAGAAAATTAAAACTCAAAATTTTACATACATACAAATTGTTTCAACAACCTTTTGAAGAATATCATATGATGACAAAGTAATTCTCAAAGTAACCTCCTACTTCAAATTTTTTTTTTATAGAAAATTGTATCACAACCAAATATTGTACATAAAATAAATATAAAAGCTTCGAAAGGTTCTTTATGATTCAAGAAATTTGGAATTTTTAATAATTACCAAACTCCACCTAGACATGAGTTCGCTCTTGTCTAACCGATTCCAAACTCGGATAAAAGAGAAAGGGTTTTGTGGTAGTTGGCAACCAACAAAACTAAAACAAATATATATCTTACATGCAATGAATTCAAATGATATAAACATTAAGGTGAACTCTGCTTACGACACGTTATATCGGAACTGTGAGTAGTGAAAAATAGGTAAGACAACATGGCATCTCCCAAATGCGAAGTGTCACGTCAACACACAAATATGGTACTAAATAGGCAACGGTTCCCCATATCGTGAACGTGTGTGGTTAGAAAAGCTAGTCCAAAGTTCTGAAAGTTCCGATACTATTAGAAGTTCAAGTAGCAGAGACAATAGGCAGTTTTATATAGGAAGAAGGGCCAGGAGACTTCGGTGAAAGATTAGACTTCGAATATTGGATCGTTGATGAAATTTGTCTATACAATGAGTAGAAAAAGAGTGAATATTACATACATCCAACAGACTAAGCGGTAGAAGAGAAAAATAAGAAAATTGAAAATATGGATTTTAAATTGTGGTACTTAGGTCAAAAAAATAATAGAAATGGGGTTGGTATTATCTTAAATAGATCATGGAAAGAGTCGATAATTGCAGTAAAAAAGTAGAAGATAGGATCATCCTAGTAAAATTAATGGTAAATGAGAGACTGTCAACATGATCAATGCTTAAGCCCCACGAGTAGGTTAAGATAGCGAGTGAACAAAAGGAGGATATGGATAATCTCATACAAAGTGTACCTTCCAGAGAGGCTATTTTTACCGTGATGATATAAATGGACATGTCAGAAAAGCCCGAGAGGTTTTTATTTTAGAAGTAGGGATGACGACGGCGAAAGTATCCTACATTTTGACATGTCTTATGACCTCATGTTAGCAAATACTCACTTTAACAAAAAAAGAAATTGCATTTAGTGACCTTCAAAAATGGACAAGATTGTAACCAAATCGATTTCCTTCTTACAAGGTCGCCAGCCAAACAAGAGCAAGAGAGAGGAGAATAGAGACATGACCGTAGTTAGATGTATTAAGGATAGTGAATATAACATTCTATTTAGAGATGAAAGACATAAAAGAAAGATAGAGAAGTTATCTATGTAACAAAAATATAAATACAGACCACATATAATTAGAGACCACTACTATAGAGAGAAATGTGAGTTATACTAAGAGGATTAAATGCGTAGAGATGAGTTTCACTAAGAAAGATGAAAATAAATATAGCGTCTGGTACCGATGGCATACTCATCGAAGTATGTCAGTGCTTATAAGAAATGAGAGAAAATTGGCCTATTAAATTGTTTAATAAAATTCTAATGCCGAAGAAGATATCAAATAAATGGAGACGAAACACTTTAGTCCTTACCTTTCAAAATAAGGGAGACATCCAAAATTGCGCAAATTATAAAGGGATCAAACTCATGAGTCATACCATGAAGTTGTAGAAAAGGATTGTGGAGTGACGTTTACGTAATGATATCTATTTCCGTAAACCAATTTGGATTTATACCCAAAAGGTGTACCATCTAACAAACTTACTCGCTCGTAACTTGATGGATAAGTTTCAAAATATAAAGAAAAATTTGCATATGATATTTAACGATCTCGAAAAAGCTTATGATCGCGTATCAAGTGGCTTTATGGTAGTTGTTATAACGTAGAGGACTATTAGATTAGTAAGATATGTATACAAGTATTAAAAGAAACGGAGACAAGTTAAAGAGGTTCATTACGATCGTAAGATCCCACACGATTGAAAGAAAAATTTTACCGTACCACTATAAGATCTGCATTGATGTATGGTTCACGAATGTTGGGCGGTGAAAGGACATGTGTCCATAATGAGCATGGGCGAGATGATGATGTTACGATGGATGTGCGGATACACAAAAATGAATAGAATACAAAATGAAAATATTAGCGAGAAACTAGGAATAGTAACCATAGAAGAGAAACTATGCGATGGTGATTAAAGTGGTTTGGACATGTAAAACATAGAGCAATAGACGCTCCAGTAAGAAAAATAGAGTATAAGAATGGAAATGAGGAGAAAAAAGAGTAAACCTATATTCACTTGGGAACGAATCGTTAGCAACGACTTATACACATTACAAATTTCAGAAAAATTAACCAAAAATCGAAATGAGTGTAAACAAAAAATTCATGGGGTCGACTTCAAATAAACTTGAGATTAAGATGATATTGATGTTGATGACCGAATTCATCACCACTTCTACTTAAATTATGGAATAATTTATAACAACAATCATAACAAAATTCTCATAGTTTTAGATTTCCTTTTGTGATAATTTGGCATATGGTGAGCATGCTAAAGTTCAAATCTAAATGATATATAATAGATATGGAGTTTTTGTATAAATATGTGATGCTCTAAAATATTTTTTATCAAACAATTCTAAACTAGTCTTTCTAAATACATCTTATTCTTTTCTATTTGTTCTTTAAATTATAGATACAACGATCATTAAAAAAAAGTTTTCTAATTCTCTCTCTCTGTTTTTGCAAAATGACCAAAAAATTAAAATATAACACATTATAAACTTTTAAATTTGGTATAAGTACACGACCTTTAAATTTTGTATAACATTACACAAATTTTGAAATTTCCCGTATACACCCATACAAAACCAATTGAATTTAGGTGTTTTTAAGTTTAAACGAAAATTTTAAAAATTTGTATATTTTTATACAAAATTAGAAGTTCTGATGCAGCCCTCAAACCTATAACAAGGACACGGATGATCAAATGCTTGAAAGGCAAGAAGAGCAGGTTGCAGACGAAGGAAGAGATGCCTACAGCGATGAAGGAGCAGAACCTAATCTCACTATGTCAACCATGCCCGAACCATCACTCACAAGACAGAGAGCCCGAAGCCTACGGACAAAGATCAATATTTTTGTGGAGGCATGGTTGCATAAAGCGATCGAGGATAATTCAATGGAAGCAACATCGAAGGCAAACAACAGAAAGGGAAACATTTTGGAGCTTTCGTTGGAGAACACTTGAAGATTGTATTGGACACCTGAGCCGTCGAAAGCTACTTGACAATACGCGAAGTCCCACTGGCGAATCCGAGAGTCATCTTGTTTTTAGCGAACAATTAAGGAAGAAGACCAAAATCCAATCACATTAAGGACTTTCCTTAAGTGATTATCCGCTGATTACCTTCTTTAATCATCCACATAGTCGTTCCTTAACTATCTCCATTATATTATTTTCTTTTCTTCTTTTAATTAGCCGTTGTATGTTATATTTCCTTTCCTTGTTAGCAACTTATTTTCCATTATTGTTTTCTACATTCTCAGCCTATTTAAAGGGCCTTTGTTGTTAGGAATAGATAGACAATCATTGAATAAAAATCGAGTTTGTTTTACTCTTCTTTTTCTTGGTGTGTCCGAGAGTTTTGCAAGTGAGTGAGCGTGTGTCGCCCTCAGTTGTGAGTGTTACTTGACGATTGCCGAAGGGATCTTCACTCCCTTTCGCAAAGCCTAAAATCTATCTTCCATCACTTCGGAAACCCTCTCGAGTGCCCTTTGGCCTGAAAATTTCCTCCATCTTTAGTTCGAAAGAGCCCTTCTTGGTGAGTAGCCCTTTGGCCTATCAAGACCTCTTCACACCGAGCCTAGTTCCTAGCCCGTGCATGTATCATTTTTGGTATCAGAGCCCGGTCAAGGACCACCACGAGGTAACTCTATCCCTGTTCAATTTCATTTCATTTCATGTTTGTTTATTTCTTTCTGTTTTGAGGAAAATAAAAAACCACACAAAACAGTCTCACCGACAAGTCAAGGTACCATTATCTTCTTCTAATTTTTTTCTTTTCTTTGTTCTAGTTCTTGTTCTATTCTATTTTTTCTTTATAACCTATTAAAAAAGACAAAAAAAAAGAAATATGTCGGGAGAAGAAGATGCTGCCACATTGAAAATCCTAAGAGGAATTCAATCACGATTAGCTCGTCTTGAAGAAGAATATATGCAACCGTTGTTTGGGGGAATACAAGACCTTCAATTTCAGAGATCAAAGAATTTGGATTTCAATAAGCCCATAGTTGAAAGTCTGAGCAAAAAGTGAAGAGTGATACATGATCGTGGACGTTTCAGAGAAAAAGAGGAAAACATCATCTTAGGGAAGCAATGTATCCAAAGATATCGAGGTAACAAATCTGACCTAAATCTTCTTACATTTGTTGGACAAGTTAATCCGGAAGTCTATCTTGAATGGGAGAAGCGGATGGAACAAAATTTCGAAGAATATGCATTTTTGGAGCATGAAAAGGTGCGATCAACTTGTTGAGAATGCATTAACATGGTGGAAAAGAGAAGTATCTGAACGACGACGTGCACACTATGACCCAGTTACGACTTGGAAAGAGATGAAAGTCATGATGCGTAGAAGGTATGTACTTCAACGCTTTCTTCGTGAATTGCAATACAAATTTCGTAACATAGTGCGGGGAAGCAAGGCGATCAAGGAATACTATGAAGAGTTTGAACACCTTCGCACATGCTTGGAAATAGAAGATGACGAAGTAGTCTTGGCACACTTTCTTGATGGCTTGCAAGATCGAATCGCTCGAAAGGTAGAACAAAATGTATATAATGACTTGCAGGATCTTGTGCATACAGCGATTCAAATGGAGTAACAAATGATTACAAAGCCAACAAGGAGTGCCTCTATACGAGCACCAACACCTATAAACAACAACTTTGTCAAAACCGAAGCCAAAGATAAGGAAAAGGATCTTAATGCTCGAGACAAGGGAGAGATAGCACTAGGTAACAAAATTTCAACCTCATGTACTAATCATACTCGTGAGGTCAAGTGTTACAAGTGTAGGGAGCAAGGTCATATGGCCCATGATTGTCCCAACCAACATGAGATGAGCATCGTGGATGAAGAGGAATACAAGTCTCTAGTTGAGGCAAAGATAGAATACTTCAAAGAGGATATCGAGGACATAGCCAAAGAATCCAGCGACAAGTCCAAGAAAGTGACCGAATACATAGTCAAAGAAGATATCAACAATGTCTCCGCAAATGTGACTCTAGGTAAGGCTACAAACTTTGATATAACGTGGAATTTGAATGGAATATGGGACACAAATAAGATGGTAGGAAACATGGGCATGGAACAAAATCTTTCCAAAGTCGATAACGATAGTGGTGAGACATTGTGGAACATATTCGAGCAACTAGGAGACACGCTCAAGAAGGAAATGAAGGCTTCAAGATTTTGAGCAAATCTTTGATGAGGATAAATGACACCACCAACAACTGTACATGGGTCATAAAACAAGAGTTAAGAGAAAAAACCGGTAACTTCGTTCCTCTTTTCCTTCTTGTATATGATTCTTGTTTTGACGAGTATGGATCACAACTTGAGCAACTAATGGGAACTTTTTGAAATGATTACTTTTATAATGATCTCAAAGAGCATACATGCTACATTAATTTGTTTGTTCCCCTAGAATTTGTCAATAGCTTACAGGTACTACATCCTAAGGAAGAGGAGATTGACACCAAGAAAGCATTGTCAACAACGCGTATCGTTCGAGATCCAAGGTTGCATGGAATGCATAGCCCTTATCACATGTTTTCGGGAGAACCAATGAGAACCACTACTTTAATGCCCATGAGAATCAAGAAGGACAAGCCCTTTGAAAGAGGGAAGTGTATGAGTGCGAAGAACTTGAACGACCATTACAAAACAAATCTACATGAGAAGCTAATGAAAGATGACGTTCTGAACCAACTCTTTAATCGGCAATTCAGTGTCATAATCATTTACATGCGACTTGCAAATGTTGTCCCAAGATCCTCAAGCGGTAACCTCGATCTTATCTTTATTCTCATTTATGATCGTTGTTCTAATGAATATCTTCCGCATCTCGGGCTTATAATAGAGACGTTTCGAAAGGAACCCTTGTGTGAGGACCTTCAGAAATGCAAATGTTGCATTAACATGTTTGTTGTCCTAGACTTGTCTATTAGATTGCAGCTATTACTTCATGATACAGAGAAAATTGGGACGAAGCAAGAGAGGATCGCTACAAACATCAGTCGAGATCATGGAACGGAAAGACCTTACAATCCAATCGTGCAAGATTCATGGACAACCACCACCTTAATCCCTAAGGCAATCATGAAGGATGAACCTTTTGAAAGAGGAGAGGTGCGAGAACAAGTCTTAAGCATACATGAGAAATACAACGACAAAGCCAACCACTTTCTTAAGTGTCAAGGTAAGTGTAACCCGAATAATGTGTTTAATGATGCTGACTTGGATCCTTTTGATGTAGGCAAAAGAGTTTTGAGGACAAAACTTTCTCAAGGGAGAGGGAATGATGCAGCCCTCAAACCTATAACAAGGACACGGATGATCAAATGCTTGAAAGGCAAGAAGAGCAGGTTGCGGACGAAGGAGGAGATGCCTACAGCGATGAAGGAGCAGAACCTAATCTCACTACGCCAACAATACCCGAACCACCACTCACAAGACAAAGAGCCCGAAGCCTATGGACAAAGATCAATATTTTTGTGGAGGCATAGTTGCATAAAGCGATCGAGGATAATTCAATGGAAGCAACATCGAAGGCAAACAACAGAAAGGGAAACATTTTGGAGCTTTCGTTGGAGAACACTTGAAGATTGTATTGGACACCTGAGTCGTCGAAAACTACTTGACAATACGCGAAGTCCCACTGGCGAATCCGAGAGTCATCTTGTTTTTGGCGAACAATTAAGGAAGACGACCAAAATCCAATCACATTAAGGACTTTCCTTAAGTGATTATCCGCTGATTACCTTCTTTAATCACCCACATAGTCGTTCCTTAACTATCTCCATTATATTATTTTCTTTCCTTAATTTTAATTAGCCGTTATATGTTATATTTCCTTTCCTTGTTAGCAACTTATTTTCCATTATTGTTTTCTACATTCTCAGCCTATTTAAAGGGCCTTTGTTGTCAGGAATAGGCAGACAATCATTGAATAAAAATCGAGTTTGTTTTACTCTTCTTCTTCTTGGTGTGTCCGAGAGTTTTGCAAGTGAGTGAGCGTGTGTCACCCTCAGTTGTGAGTGTTACTTGACGATTGCCGAAGGGATCTTCACTCCCTTTCGCAAAGTCTAAAATCTATCTTCCATCACTTCGGAAACCCTCTCGAGTGCCCTTTGGCCTGAAAATTTCCTCCATCTTTAGGTCGAAAGAGCCCTTCTTGGTGAGTAGCCCTTTGGCCTATCAAGATCTCTTCACACTGAGCCTAGTTCCTAGCCCGTGCGTGTATCAAGTTCACATACTTATTTACGTGACTTAAAAAGTTTTTGTTTTTATTTTTGCAATATTCCTTAATATGTAAGTAAAACAAGTTTCTCAATATAGTATCACACTAGAACCACAAGACAAAACACTAACAAGTACAACACAAACAACAAGTTGCGCATAAAACATCATTTGACATATCAACAAATCATGCAATTTATGGCTATATGTGACGGCTAAAATTGTATAAACTTAAGGATGAAGACGCGTTGATGGCAAAGGAGTAAGATGTTGGTAATGAACTTTCACTACCACCACTAGAGATCAAATAAACTCCAATTCCTATTTAAGAAAATTGCTAGAGATATATTTGGGCATAAAATGACAAACCATCAACTGAGAAATGGTGATTGCAAACGAAAATGTTAGTCACACGATTAAAAACGGGATAGATGAAATGTAGACAAGTCATGAGAGTTCTTTACGGACGTAAGATTTTTATAAAAGTCACATTGATATATGGTAGCGAATATTGAATGGAAAATTCTATTGTACGGTTATTAAACTCATATTAATGTGTGATAAAATGTTGAACGGTTAAAAAACATGTGTCTAAAATGAGTGTGGTCGAGATAGGATGTTACAATGAATGTACGGACACAATAATGGACAAAATTTGAAATGAGAATATTAGAGAAAAAGTATGAGTAATAAATATAGAAAAGAAGTTATGAGAAGAACGTTTAAAATGGTTTGGACATATACAACATAGATCGATAGATGCTCCAACTAGAAAAGTTAAAAAAAAAATAGGAATGAAAACGAAGATAAAGAGATGGATAGACCTAGACTTACTTGTGAATGAGTCACTAGCAATGACTTGAAATTGTTGCAAAATTCGGAAGATCTAACACAATCAATACTATCAATTGATTTGCATTGATGTATAATAGCGAATATTAGACAACGAGAGGATAAGTATCCAAATTAAGCATGACTAATAAAAGAATGTCAGGATATATGTGAAAACACGCCATAATAGATGGAATTCGAAATGATAGTATTCGAGAAGATAATATGTGGTACTCATAGAAAAGAAATTACGATAAGGATGTCTATGATGGTTTGACCATATAAAACGTGAGTCGATATCTAGATGATAATTTACAAATGCATTATTGGACTAAATACCTTGCATCGGAACCATGCTCCACGATAACCTTTTTCAAAAGACCTTGTTTCCACAATTTCGCCAACATTGAAAGGTGGACAGATTCCAGACATTTCCAATTAGAGCACAAATGAGATCTATAAGAAAATACAATCAAAGTTTCATAAATTTAATTTTCGTATAAACTTGGGAAACTATTTTGAAAAACTTAATTAAAAACCAGAAACTCTTTGTTTTTTGGATTTATAAACAAAAACTAAAAACTAAAAATAACAAATCAAAATAAAAACTATCAACATTTGTATCTTTAATATTTCTAATTTTGAGAAAAACTATTTTGGTGAAAAAATCAGTTAAATACCAAAAACTCTATTGTATGGATTTACAAATATTAAAAAAAAAACAAAAACTAAAATACAAAAATTAAAATCCAAAAAAAAATCTAAAACTAAAACAAAAAACTCAAAATAAAAACTAATATGATTTATTGTTCTAGTAATAACTCAAAAAAATAATAACTTCAAATCTATATATCAAAACATAAAGTTATCCATGATTCTCATATCAAACATCAAGTTATCCCCAACACCAACATCAAACGTGATACCAAGTATATACAAGTCATAAAAAAAAATCATATATAAATATCTAAACTTTTACAAAAATCTCAAATAAATATCTGAATTATAAAATTTGCATATAAATAACTGAACTTTTCTAAAATCTTATATAAATAACTAGATTTCTGAAAAATTCCCAAATAAACCCAAAATCGGTTAATGATATCACCAATTTTTATTTGAAAAATATTTGAAATTTGTATTTATTTAGAAAAAATTTTAAAAATCTAGATATTTATATAAGATTTTTTAAAATTCAGTTATTTATATGGAAGTTTGATAGTTTAGATATTTATGTGTGGTTTTTATAAAAGTTTAAGTATTTATATGTTATTTTTTCTAAAAAAAAATATAGCAAATTTTTCAAAAATTCATACACGATCGTGGATGTTGAACAACGTCAACATCAAATTCATGTTTAGATTAATATTTGAGTTAGTAATGATGTTGGAAATGACTCATGAAAGATCTTGTATGAAAATGCATATGCACAGTGATGGTTAAACGACGAAAACCTAATGACCACCTTATTCTCATACCGTAAAAGCTTAAATCTCATCTCTAATCCCAAATCTCAAATCTCTAATCTACAACAGATTTACGAAAACAAGGGATTGGATGTTTCAACACCCATCCATTACGACCAAAACAAATCAAAGAACTTGACGAGATTCGATCGAAAGTTACCTTTGCAAAATCTCACTCTTCGATTTGGAATTCACCTTTGCAAAATCCCACTCTTCGTTTTGGAATTCGAAACGCGAAACAGAAAAAATCCAGAGTTTAGATGATAAAAGTAGTGGCGGCCATGAGAAAATTGAGATAAATTTAACCTAGATTTGGGTGGATGTGTATATATAAAACATATCAAATTTGGGCTTTACCTCAACTCAGCCCAATAACAAATTAAGTTATCATCATATAGGAAAATTTTCACAAAAATTTCCACATTTTTTAAAATATAAAAAAACTCTAATTAAAAATTTACCATATAAATTTCCTGATTTCAAAATTATTTCTAAATTAAATTATAAATAATTAGGATTTTTAAAGTTTTTAAATTTTAAAAATAAAAAAAAAATCAATCTGAGTTTTTATAATTTAATTTTTAAAAAATTTAAAAAACTACTTTGATAAAAAAAAATATCAAATAAAAACTTGAAAATTATTTTTTTTATTTTTAAAACTAAAAATCAAAATATAAAATCTAAAAACCAAAAACTAAAAACTAAAACTTAAAATAAAAACCATAACCATTCAAAAATTTCATCGCACCGTCACACTTGGATATCATGTACAGCTGGATACCACGTAAAAATTTTCTACGGATTATAGAGACAGGAGATTTATATGATTATATAGTGCTCCAACGCGACGCCGATTCCAGCGACGAACTGGCCGTTCTCTTGCCGGAGATGAGCGACTTGAATCGTCAGATGGATGAGTTGCTTGTGCTTCCTCATCCTCGACTTTCTCGCAGATTCTTTGTTTATATGCTTCCGCTTCCGTTTCCGTTTCCGTTCATCAATCAGGTTCAGATCTGACTCCGACCCAGAGTTCTGAAGCACCGTCGAACAGCTTCCACTCGTCGCAGACATACCCATTTCAGGTTTATTTATAACTTTTGGAATTTCAAACCAAATCCAGATTGAAACAAGCGGAAATTTATCGATTAAAGCACTATATATGTACATATGTATATATGGAGAAGACAAAGGACCCAGAGGCTTATATAGATAAGGTGATAGACGAAGATTAAATGAGAAGAAGAAGCAAGAGAGACATGGAATTAGAGTTTCTTAAAATTTTCGGTATAAAACACCGGTTATGTAAACCGATTTAATCGTGTACGGTTTGCTAACTTGGCAATATGTTTTACGTGGCATATACGGGTCATTGTCATTGATATGGTGAAATTTTTAATGCCACGTCAGACTCTAAAACGGCAAAATAACGCCGTTTCTCTGCATGTATTAATTGGGAAACAATTTTGGAATCAGGAAATTTATAATTTTATATGGCAAATTTTTAATTGGGATTTTTTTGGCATATTTTAAGGAATTTGGGAATTTATGTGCCCTTTTATTTATTGAATAGATAAATTGGAAACTTCACCTGCGAATGAAGGGAGAAGTAGATTTTTATCATTTTTAAAATTAAAGTGAAAAGCCTTTTTATGATATTTTTTACAAATTTTATTTTAAAGTCAGAAAATATGTGTTAACGTTGTCTCGTTTAAATTGGAATTTTTGTTTTACAAATGATATTGAGGCAATTATCTTTAGATGAGTATTTTTAAAGAGTTTTGAACTCATTATTGAATTGTTTTGGATTATTAAATTAGTTTGTATTCAATTTTCGTATTGGTAAAAGATTGTTTATAAATTATTAATTGTCGATTGTGAATATTATGTAACTGGGTCATTTGTTTAGAGTTGATTCCTTCTTATTTGGAAATTATCGGATCATACTTAATAACGTTATATTTATATTGAAAAATTGTCTCGTCATTCGGAAAATATAGGAGGGTTATGTTTCCATTATATGGATGTTGGTTTATCCTGATTCAGCTTGATGAATGTTCCAGGTCCCATTAAAGGTTTTTCTTTCTTCGATCGTCATCCAGAGTCACCTAGAGCTAAAGGTTCTAAAGAAATCGAGAGTCAAAGATCAAAGAAGTACTTGGTCGAAGAGCATAAGTATGAGATTTTTAGAAAGAAAAAAAAAGAACTTTTTTCTTGTATATTGACTTTGTAGAAACTTTACAATATATAGAATAATAAAAGGAAACTAAAGATGTGATATTTATATATAAGGAATGAAGAGAAATTAAGGTGAGTATATTGCAGATTTTTCTCAGATCTTCAACGTTCATGAGGTTGGAACCCTCTGATTAAGAGTATGTCTTCCTCCTTTCTCATATTCGATCAGACCAAGTCTCCCTTTACTCGGTTTCTTGTCCCTCAAACTGTCCATCGTCTCTATGTTCCTCAACATTCTCCCTCAAGATTGGTCGGCGAAACTCAGAGAGACCAATCTTGGAGAAAATCTTGTTAAGAACAAACGAACTTGTGGCCTTTGTGAATATGTCTGCAAGTTGATCGTGACTTCTCATATACATCGTTGTGATAATCCCTTGCGTAATCTTTTCTCGTATGAAGTGAAAATCGACCTCTATATGCTTTGTCCTCTCGAGAAAGACTGAGGTGGAAACAATGTGTATAGCAGTTTGGTTATCACAATGTAGTGGAATTGGTTTATGAGAGTCAACACCAATATCCTCTAGCAACTGCTTCAACCAAATGAGCTCACTTGTAGTATTTGTCATGGCCTGGTACTCTGTTTCTGCGCTTGACCTTGCAACAATGGTTTGCTTCTTCCTTCTCCACGTGACAAGGTTGCCTCCAACAAAGGTGCAATATCCAGTGGTGGATTTTTTATCTGTTCTGTCTCCTGCCCAATCACGTCACAATATCCGACAAGCTCTGTGTGTTTGTTGCATTGCATCCATAATCCTCTATTGGGTGTTCGTTTCAGATACTTTAGAATTGATCCACCATTTGCCAATGTGTTATTGTCGGAGCATGCATCCATTGGCTAACCTGATGTATAGCAAAACTTAAGTCAGGACGTGTAATGGTAAGATATATAAGCTTACCTACAACGCGACGATATTGCTCGGCATTGTCCAATAATTCCCCCTTGCATTGATCTTTGAAGTGTTCCTCGAGCGATGTACCAACTGGTTTTGCGCCGAGTTTGTCGGTGTTCTGTAAAAGGTCTAAAACATATTTCCTTTGAGACAAGAAGATGTTAGATGAATCATAAGTGACCTCAATACCGAGAAAATATTTAAGTTGACCAAGATCTTTAATATCAAATGTCTTCTTCAAAAAATGTTTCGTAGTCTCAATCCCCGAATTATCATTACCCGTGATGACGATATCATCAACATACACAAGAAGAATAATAATACCCGAACGAGTGCGGTGAATGAAAAGAGAGTGATCATTATCGCTTCGAACGAAACCATGACTTATGAGTGCATCATGCAGCTTAGAGTACCACGCATGTAATACCCCGAAACCCGATTAAAATATTTAATTATTTAGAAATGAATAATTAAATAGAAATATCACAAATCATGAAAAGTGAATAGTACGATGCCGGGGAGAGGTACGAGTATCGTCACGCGCGGGAAGAATCAAAAAGAAGAAAAAGAAAAAAAAATAAAAAAAAAATAGAGTTGGTCCGCCGGACCAGGAATGGTCCGCGGTGGACCAACCACTCTGACGGACTCGGACTGGACAGCGCGGATTGGGGAAAAATTCGAAAAAAAATAAGTGACCCCGGTCCAGCGGACCAGGAGTTGGTCCGGCAGACCGGGTCTCGACAGAAATCGCAAGTTGTCAACTTGCGGTCTTGGGACGCGAACTTCGCCGGATTTCGGGACCTACCTATCGTGCTGCCGCCTCCCACGCCTCGAGGATGTTGCAGACTTGCCTATGGGCCTGGGCTCGAGCCCATTCGACCCTCTCGCACGCCATAAACTCTCCTCAATCCTCTGCCTTAGCCATTGGCGGACAGAAACAGAGGAAGAAGGAAATCGGGAGAAAGGGAGAGAAAGGGGACGAACCGGTGCAAGGGGAGCTCGGGGAGACCAAGAGAGACGTGCCCAGACGTGTCCCGAAGCTTCTCACGTCGCGTGGAGCCATGAGGAACGCACACAAGCTCGGACAAACTCAAGAACAAGGTGAGTGGCTTGAGTTGGATTTGTGAGATCTCATTTTCAATGTGTGATGGTGCAAATCGAGATTTCATTGCGTGTTTGAGGCTTAGGACATGTCTAGGGATGTAAATCTATGTTTTAGTAGCATTTGGAAGCAACCCCGAACCGAGGATTACGCCTAGCGTATCGGACGACGATGACCTGAGAGCAGCAACATCATGTACGGGATTTGTATTTTGGAATTTGGGACTTGTATTCCCGCATTTTGTACAGTTATATTAAGACTAATCGGACATGTGTTATTTTGCGAATGATCGCGTTGTATTTTCCACTGCTTACTCTGATTTGAATTAAAATGTTTTTGGATTTCGTATTTTCGCTTCCGCAATTTATTATTTTATTATATATCGTCCATGTGGCACAGTCCGTTTACTGTACACGGATTACGGGTGTCACAACTTTTGGTATGAGAGCCACGTTATTTCCCTGGGAAGGAATCGTGCTCATTACCTAATGATTTTCATCGAAAATGTTTTCAAACCATGTCCGAAGAAAATCCTCTTTTGCCGAGGTCCGTACATCGATGATGCAGTATCGGTCGTCAGTTGCAGGTCCGTACATCGATGATGCAATATCGGTCGTCAGTTGCTAAACTGTCTTAAATGTGGTGCAGTGAAATGGCGCCACGACGTGCTAGGCTTGCAGCGAGGGGTGACGACGTTCCCGAACAGACTCCACCGCCTAACCCAGGGGACGAAGGGTGGAGGGCGGAGTTTCGTCAATTTCAGGAGACTGTGTGGCAGCACCTGGCTGCTCACGCCCCACCACCACCTCCAGCGAGAGACCCAGAGTCGAGGGAGGAGGGCCTACACCAGCCGCCGATACCTACTGCGATGGCGGGATACCTTCCCATCGTCAATGGGCTGCGGGCGATGCATACCCCGTGATTTGAGGGATTAGTGAGACCGGAAGCTGCAAAGGAGTGGCTCACTCAGATCTCTCAGGACCTAGAGTATCTGCAGTGCTCGTACCAGTACTGGGCTATGATCGCGAGCCATCACCTATCGGGCTAGGCCCGACATTGGTGGGCGAAGGTGGTGCAGGAGGCACCAGCGGGACATCGTT